GATTTAAAACCACATACTGAAACGGCCTGGGTCGGATTTGAAAAAAATCGGATTTGTCTCGTTCAGACTGTCATAAAAAATCGGATATGAGTCAGATGGGTAAAAAAAAATCGGATTTGGGTCAGATTTGCCTGCAGTGTGAACGCAGCCAAAGACGCGTTAAAGTGACTTCAAAATGCAACAACCGTTTTGCACATATCCACAGCATATCAATACATCTAAAAAAAGTACACACGTTTTAACGTTGTTCCGTGCAATCTCTGAAAACCTTTGAGGAAATTTCAGCTGACATTTTAACACACATTTTTAGAGAGCCTACAAGTCTGAGCTTGCACGAGTTGCTGCAACAGAGTCTTAAGGGGAGTAAAAACCTTAGTTTAACCTCACGACAAAGGTTTAAATAAAAAAGGTATCAGTGGATTTTTCAACAAGGTTTTCTAATCATATAAGTTGGGTTAGGTTATTTATGTTAGAGATGAGGTCAAGATGGGCATCGAGCCATACGTTCCTCAGTGAGGGATATATAATATAACAAATTATGTAACTGAAAAACTGCAAGCAATTTACTTTAGATGCAACTTTTGCACATCCTCCTCCCATCACAAAAGTAGAGTTCAGGATTTATGACTAAAGCAATTTGCATTATCCTGAATAGCTATATTCATGATTATGTTTATGTTATTCTGTTTAGGTTTGATGTCAGACTACTCTAAATATTTACAGTTCGTATTTTATGGCCACCTTCATCTTTAGGACTAAAGATGAGCCTAATGGTTAAAGAAACTTTCATATCATGCTTTTAAATCCTTCTTTCTCACATTTAAATCCTTCAGTTAGGGTCTGTATAACGAGGAACTGCAATGCTTTGGTCTGAATTCCTCCTTATTGTAACTCCACAAGCCCCTCTTTAACCCCTTTTCTAAGGTGCATCTCAGATTAACTCGTTTTGAGGCTGTCTCTTTAAATCTAAGAGAGGCACTTCATGCTCCCCCTCCAGAACGTCCATTCTAGTTCGATAGAGGGGTTTACGACTATATAGCAGCTCAGAAACTTTTTATTTACAAATTAATTAAAGGACGTCATCAAGGAAAGACTCGTCCCTGCAGCCTTACGTGTTGGAGCCAGAGTCTGACCCAGAGCCGGAGGAGGATGAGGAATGATGAAGTCCAGAACTTATAAAGAAGTTCCAATATGATGTAATAGTTCAGAAACAAAACACATTTTACAGCTAAAAGTGGATTTTACATGATGTGCCTCCTTTAAAACCTGTAATGTAAGAATTGAGAGGGTCTCTGCAGGGTTTTCTCAAGAAAAGAAAAGTCAGAATGCAGTGAAAGTGTAGCAATGATTTCACAGATGTACTTAAACACAATCACAGGAAGGTCCTCTGCCCTTTTCCCCCCAAACTCTTAGTCAAAAACACATTCGCTAAAAATGTTCACCTTTCGAGCCATGACCAAACCCGAGGGTTTGTGGCGGACCTTGTTGACCACTCCTCCGTTTCCAGCACCCAACTCACAGATGGGGTCAAAGTCCTCGTCCTTCAGCTCCCCGACCTGGGCTTTCTGGGTCAGGAAGGCTTCTAGACGTTTCCTTTGCTGCTCGTCGAGGTCCAGCTCACCCAGCTTCTTCTGTAAGGCCTCCAGGTTGGCTCTGTTGGGAGAAGGTGGGCAGAATGGGATTTCATGTCACACAGAACAGGAAAAACTGTTGAGCTTCACTTGTGGTTAACTAAACAGACATGAGAACCACAATGTAATGTTAAGCAGTACTTTTATATAAAAAATGAACGTATACAGAAATAAAGAAAACACCTGCTGAATACGACAGTTTATTTGACTTTTAAATAGCGGTACTTACTCTGATGCAGCATCAATGGTGTTGGAGGTGGCCTGTCCCTCCCCAATGGGCGTAATGTTCAGAGGAACTGGTCTTCTTTTTGGAGCCATTGCAAAAGAAAATCAAACTAAACTACTTCCTCTGTAAAACACTGTATTTAAATAAGCTGGGCAGCTGTTGATCTAAGCCTGCCCGTCTTCGAAAAGTCCGTCTGTAAAAGAAAAAAAGCAACAGGACCCGCTCTACACGGTGGCTGGTAACTTGGCTAGTTAACGTTAGCGAAGTTAAAACACTTTTCGGGGCATGTCAGTTCGCTAATTTGGTAAAACGTAGCATGCCGATATGTCCTACAAAAGTCGGATAGTTTCTCCAGTTCATCTATAGAAGCTGGAAGGCGACAGCTCTCTTTTTATTCGTCTCCTTCTCGGTTTTCTACCTGCTGCTGCTAGCCATTAGCCACCTAGCCGCTAACGCCAGCTTCAGTGAAAATTCGCGTCTTTTCAGCCGGAAACGTGCAGCGACACTCGTTCCTGAGCTTTACACGAGACGACACGTCCCGCTGCTTCTCGGTGGGCCTCTCTAAAATGAGTCCTTCCGTGTTTCTAAGCCAGGTTGCGAGAGGCTCTGAGACGTTGCAGAGCTTTGGCGCTGACCGCTGGAGCTTCAACACAGGAAGCAGCAGCAGACCTGACTGTACGTGACACCCGCAGGAAGACTCCTGCACAAATACCGCGAGACTGAGACTGTCCAACAACTTTATCCGCGGTGAGTAAAAGTACTCTTATTGTGGATGTAYGTACGATTATAGTTCGCGATAATGTGCAGGGTGCATTCTTTTTAATCAYGTAAAAAGCCCTTTGCAAGTTTTTATGTAATTACTGGCGGTTTGTTCAGATGCGGCAAAGTACATTACTGCCACCTACTGGCAACAAAGGCAAACGAACGCAGGTGCATTAAAACAAAGAAGTTCAGTTCAGATTTCTTTACTATAAATCAGGGGTGCACAAACATTTTCCCCGAGGGGGCCAAAATGAAAATCTATCCATGGCTGAGGGCCAAATGCAGTTATATAATACATGAAATACAAATGCCTTTTTAAAGTAAAGTCCTTTATTTTTAACGATTAAGCTGTGCAATGGCCCTCTTTTGTTTTRGTCTGTGCACTTGGAGAAAGTCTGCCAAGTAGCAAAGGCTCATGGGACATTTCATAAATTGATAAAATATGAGTTTTTGTGGCCTTATAAAGTGTGCAAATCTACATGTGGGGTTAAATCTGATCTAAATATTTCTTATCATTTCATGTTTCATGTTTAATCCTAATGGTGCGTTCACACCAAACGCGATTTCAGCATCAGGAGCAGTAGGTTTACATACAAAGTCTATGGTGGACACGCTTCAAGCAACGTCGGGAAGGGCTGCGGCGCCTCAAGTGCGATTAGAGCAGCGCGATTTGAACGATCTGAGCATTCGAAGCGCTGAGGCGCAAATCGCTGAAGTTAGAAAATCTGAACTTTTGCAGCTCGACGCACCGCATCAACCAATCAGAGAGACTCCACTGTGTGACGTAGCGACATATTTCCCGACGGGACAGTTTACTGAATGATGTCCACTAACCTGAAACAGATGGAGAGGAGCTCTTTAGCTGAAATCGAGTGCCTGCAGTCGGTGTCCTGACAGAGAGATCTGCACCAATGTGTGGCAGCGGCTCATCAGACTGGAAAAATAGTCCTGAAAGCGAGCTGTGAGCCTCTACTCTGAATTATCTGGTGAATTAATTATGAATTAATTATGTGATGAACGTGACATGCTCTTGCTCTCTGTAAATAAAGCAAAGCCACTTCCTCGTACGACATTAAACAGAGCCCGACAGAGGAGGGAGGGGCGGGGAGGCTCTTGCCATGCAGCGCTTCAAGAGCTGTCCTGCGTCTGACCTCAAAGTGCACAAGCTTCAAACTTCAGCGTTGGCTGCGATTTTGAAGCTGAAATCGCGTTCGGTGTGAACGCAGCATAATAAATCAAAGATATGTCAGCACCATGAATGAAAACTACCTTCACTACAGCCCTTTTATATAGTCATTTGACCAATGGAAATACTGTGTTTCTACCTAWAGGAYAACAGGTTACAACCTTGTAACTTTGGCAACTGTTGGTGGGCCAAATCAAATGGCTTGGTGGGCCAAATTTGGCCTGCGGGCCCCACTTTGGGCTCCTCTGCTATAAATCAACAGTGTTGCATAAAGTACCTCAAAGTGATACTTGAGTAAAAGTACAAGTATCTCATCATAAAAATACTTTGGTAAAAGTTAGTCTTCTCTAACAATATTACTTGAGTAAAAGTCTTAAAATATCTGATATTTTTTGTACTTAAGTATCAAAAGTAATTTTCTGACACAAAATCTACTTAAGTATTAAAAGTAAAAGTACTGAGTAAAAGTGAGCAGTTAGATTTTCCAAAATAACATTTATTGGGAGGTGACTTCTGCAAAAAAAAAAAAAAAAAAAAAAATTAAAGGCGTGCAGCTGTGATGTGTTGTGCACAAGCTAATAGGGTGTCAGAATGGTACTGTATATATTTATACTTCTCATCCAACCACAATTAAATTCACTCTATCCTGGAGACATAATTTTTCAGGATAGTGTTTTTAAGTAATAACAACTAGGAGTAACGACTTTCTACTTCTTACCTTTTTAAAAAATGTAGTGAGTAGAAAGTACAGATAAYTGTGTAAAAATGTAATGAGTAAAAGTAAAAAGCACGCTGAAAAATAATTACTCAAGTAAAGTACCGATAGCCAAAAATTCTACTTAAGTACAGTAACAAAGTATTTGTATTTAGTTACTTTACAACTCTGTAAATCAATCTCAAACTGTCTTACAAAGAATATTTTAACTTTAGTTACAATGTGTTTACAATATGTTTAAAGATATTTTATRCTTTATCAATATAAATGTTATGTGTACAAATACATTGCTGGAACGTTTGTTTTTGTTATGCTGAGCACACCTACATCACACTTTTTGTGTAAGAACTTACCACCGCTAAAAAATTTGTAAATGCATTAAAGTCATGGAGTTTTATTTACCATTGAACTACATGTTGTCTTTACTCCAAAATCCAAAATTTCTCATTCAAAAAGTCTAATGYAGCATCAATGGTGTTGATACATTCAAACAAATCTCTTAACCCTCTACTGTTAATTTACAAAAATAAAATAAAATAAAATAAACAATGAATACACTTTATATTGACATTGCAACACATTTTTAACCAATCAGATTCTTGGAATGCAGCACMTGACATTTAAACCCACAAAACCGATTCTCTTCCACATGATGACGAGTTGTAGAGCTTACTCAATACATACAGATTTGTCCAACTTTTCTTGCATTTGCACAATTAAAAACACTAATATATATCATAAGTTATGACCTGTGTGTACAATGGTTTTTATAGGATTTTATTTTGTGAGTTTTATTCAATTAAATGAGCATGTTGCCAAATGTCAACATTGTGCAGTTATGGAATAATGTCAGTGAAAGATTAGTAAATAATTCTTGTCACATTTCTAATGGCAAAGCTGAAAAGAGGGCTAGAAACAGGACATAGGTGGCTATTCCTATTTGTCCTGTTTAATGTAAGGGAAGCTAATGCAAGTTGAGTGAACTTGGTTTGAAACTGTCAGGTGTTCCTCCCAAGTAGAAGTATACACAATGAGGTTATCCAGATGTGCCTGGATAACCTGGTCAAGACAGTATTAACTAAGTGCTGAAAGGTCGCGGGGGCATTGCACGTGCTAATTACATTAATATATTGCAGAAATTTGTCTGGCAAAAGCAGAGATCTCTGAAGTGGTACTTCCCAAAACCCTTTGAGTAGATCCAGCATATACAAATATTGAGCATTGTCAGTTGTAACCACATATCTTCAGTTCAAAGAAAGTGGATGTGAATCAGTGACTGATGGCACACCATTAACCAAACACAAAAAACTGCTCGGCAGGGACAAGGTTTATTTTGTTGGTTTTTGGTAAGTGTGTAAAGTGTTTAGGAAATACTTAACAGTTCACAGTTTGGAAAAGGAGGACTGATGGAAGAGGGTGATGTAAGGTCAGGCCATCTCCACAAGGACCAGACTCAAGGTCACTTGTTACAGTTAAGAGCTGAGCTGCCTGTGAGTTGTGCCACAGAACTGTCTATGTTCTGTCACACAAGTAGTATAGTTTTAACATATTTACAGCGGGGTGCGAAACTTTGGGCAGCCTTGTTATTTTTCCTGATTTACCTTTATAAATTATTGTTTGGATTTAAAACAATCAGTAAAATAGGGGACAAACAGTGACATTTGAGAAGTGAAATGAAGTTTATATGATTTACAGAACGTGTGCAATAATTGGTTAAACAAAATTAGGCAGGCAATTTTGTCACAAAAAAAAAAAAAAAACTAACTCAATTTTTAGTAGATCCTCCATTCACAGGAATAACAGCCTCTAAACGCTTCCTACAGCTTCTAATGAGTCTGGATTGTGGCTGAAGTATTTTAGACCATTCTTCTTTACAAAACATCTCTATTCATTCAGGTTTGTTGGTTTCCAAACACAGAGCTTTAAGTGACGCCACAGATTTTCAATAATATTCAGATCTGAGGACTGAGATGGCCATTCCAGAATGTTGTACTTATTCCTCTGCATGAATACCAGTAAAAATGTTTGAGAATGAGTTCAGTTTGAGATACACCACAATGTCCTGACACTGACTTTCATGAGCTTAAACCAAAATCTGTTTGCGATTAACTGAAGAAACAGAACACTTTTGTCATAAAGTGTTACCAAATAACTACAGTCCAGACGAGTTTTAAAGAACTCATTTTATTTCAACACATCAATAACAGCTGTTAGAATACGATCATTTCAAATTGTACATATTCATCCTTAACAGGCATCAAACGTCCCCCCCCTCAGATCTCAGTAGTTACGTCCTCTCCTTTGGTACAGGACATAACAGTCCACCCCTGAACCAGTTCCTCCCAGTTCTCAGTGGCATCAGAGTCCAGTGATGCTGCKCTTGGCTTCTTTTTGTCTGTCTGCCTAGAAGAACAACTGGAGGCAATTCAAGGCTTAATAAAATATTATTTAAATTTTATTGTCTTAAGAACATAAAAAATAAACAAAACATGTACACCATGGACTGAAAGCCTCTGTCCATGCTACTTTATGCATTATAAGAAAATGTCACTACAAAAAAAAAAAAAAAAAAGACCCTCAGCTCTCTTCAGCCTCCTGTCTGGCTCAGTTCTACAGTAGCAACCCACACCACCTCCTCTTTACCCACAAGGCCATTAGAAGTGCAGGAGATCCACTCAAATAATGACCTAAATCTAGCAAAGGAAAAATGCCCTCTTCAAATGTATACTTACTTGCTAAAAACAAAACAAAACAAAAAAAAAACCAAAACAAACAAAAAAACTGCCTTATTAAAAGGTAGGTATCCGAGTTCTTTTTTTTTTCTGTTAAATTTGCATCAAAGCGCTTTATGTAGAATATAGATTCTTAGGAACAAATATCAGTTTTGCAAAGAGCCACCAGCTTGTTTGGATTATCTAAAAGTTTTCCTCTTAATTCTAATTTTCTAAGCCATCAAAAAAAAGGAAGACTAGATCTGAGTTACTATTTTCCCCCCGTCGTTAACAGTGAGGCCACAAATAAATGTGTTTAAATTTCAACGAGGGGAAMGAAAACCTGCATGATGATGACAAGCACCACACCCTGCAGAACTTAGGAGTCATCTGCCCCACTGGACCAGGACCTCTGGTTATGGGTTCTTTTCCACAACCATGCCCAAGGATTCAGTCATTACTTGCTGCACAAGGAACTAAAAAAAAATAAATAACCGTTTCAAAGTACTTAAAGTAAGCGCATCTCTAAAGAAAACAAAAAGCGCACCGTGAAACACATCTGGAACCTGCGCATCCAGCCTGAGTCTCATTAGAAGAGCAGCMGTCACAGATTTCTACTAATGATGCTGGATTCAGAGGACTCGGAGCGTCCGCCCTCCAGAATGTAGCAAACAAATTCTTAACTCTGCTAAAGAAAATAAATACGAGCCTCCCCGCGCTGTAAGGAGTCTGAAGGGTGACGCTGTTCATGCCAAGCAGGACCATTTGTAATCTAACCGAGTTTAAATGTTATGTTTTGTGCAGCAGCAGAACTCCCAGCTGTGACCCAGGTTGAACTCAGTGGGAGAGGAGAGAGGAAAAAAAAGACTGTTCATTAACAGCAGAGCCACGAGCCTGGATCGATTGTAGGCCAACAMCCAAATCCCAGCAGTTGGAGGTGCCCGATTTGAGGAAAGAACCAGCTCGAGCAGCAGCCAAATGTTAAGAAATTTACCAAAAAGAACGGATGCAGATGTTATAAAAGATACCAGTACTTCTACATCCTGCTTAGTTCACTCTTCTGACTCAGAAATCTAGAAGTGTAGAGTATAAACCGGCCAGCAGTCCAGGTGAGTCTAGAAAAAAAAGGCATCAAAACCGCAAGAACATTACCTGCCAGTGACTCCCACACATTTCTGCTTTGGCATAAAATCCTTACAGTGATTTGGTTTATGTTAATTTGGAATTTAAAAGTGTCATTCCTAAGAAATGTTTGAGATTTGCAGTAAAGTTAACACTTCCTCTAACAAATCTTTTTTTTTTCCAGTAACTGTTAACCAGATAACCCACACAGCAATGGTCACTGATTTTAGGTCGCTGCAGAGGCCAAACAGCTGCGTGACGAGAAGGTAACTAAAACCTACGATTAAAAAAAATAAAATAAAGAAAAGAATCTCCAGTGTTAAACAGGAACTTGAAAGACTCAATTTAACTGCCCCTCCCTATCTTTCAAAGCTATTCCCAGGCCAGTCTAACTTTTTATTTGTTTGTTTATTTATTTATTTATTTTTGTTCTGACTGAGGTAGCTTCTCTTTATCCAAGGACTAAATAAAATCAAAAAGACTTTAAATTTCTACCCCACTTGACATATTTCTGCCAGGTTCCTCCAAGTTACATCTTCTGAGTTTTTCACCTTCATCCAAACGTTACTGAGGATCCTCTGCGGTCCGGTTCATCTTCAATGTGACAAACATCGGATGCAAACACTGAGCGCTTGTGGCTAAAAGAGCCTGTACTGTGTAAGAAATACAGCGAGAGGGAGTAGTCTGGAAAGAGAAGAGTAAGAATGGTGGTGGGGTGCTGGGTCCAGTCAGTCTCACTGCAGGGTGCCAACGGGCCAAAAAAGAGCTGCTTCCAGAGATGTGCAGTGCAAAACAAACAAACAGAAAATCCTCGTCACTCTAAACTGAAGAGTCATTGACAGAGTGTGTGTTGTGTCTGGTTTGAAACTAGAGCTGCTAAAAAAGGCTCTGATATCTGAGGGTTGAGGAGGGGAGTTGCATCTAGTGGATTACTGTGTTCCTGTCCTCGACGTTTTTTTTTATTCTAGCCCCCTGCAGCTCTGCGTGGCAGTTTGTGAGGGGGCAGAACTGCAGGGTCAGTACGCAGTGACCAGGTCCTTGTCGAAGTTGTATCGACCTCTCTTAGGGGCGGGACTGTCCGTGCTGTCCTCCGTGTCCTCGCTGTCCCCGCCAGCCCCTCCCCCCTCCTCTTCAGAGGAGGAGTCCAGAGTCAGGTCTACCACTGCACCTCCTCCCGGCGCCGCCGTGGGTCCTCCCGCCACTGCAGCCRCCCCCAGCGAGCTGCTTCCGGATCGGCCCGTCTGACTGGTGCTGCTGTGAGCCGGTGAGTGTCCGTTGGCTTCAGGAATGCCTGCAGAGAGAGCTCCTGGTTTAAGACCTGCACGGGACCAGACTTTATTCTACTGAACTGTGGGCCGGCACAAAGACACGTTTGGGATGAGAGAGGGTTTGACACTTACATATATCAACAACAGAGTACTCTGGCGTGTTGCTGCGCTCTCTTTCCCTCTCCCTCTCCTTGTCGTCACTGATGGGCTGCCAGGAGCCGTCTGTTAGGTACTCGATCTCCTCAATGTCCTCGCTCGTCTCTTTCAGGATCTCAGATAATAACCTGAAACACACAGAGCTCGCCTCAATCTCTCATATAATCTGGTAACAAAAAAACCCCCTCAGATACACACTCTTCATGTACAAATTTACCCATCATGATAATCAGACTCACAAGACTCTCCGTAAACTTTAAATTTTTAACCCTAAAATTTGTTTTCCGACTGTAAAATTACAAAGTTAAAGGCAGAACTTTCACACTACTTCATTGCAATGAATGTGAATCACTTCACAGCCAAAGTAGAACACAAATAAAAATAAATTTCCAGTCTTTGAGAAAGTAAAAGGAGTGCAAGTGACAGTTTAGATATTAGACACTGCAGGAAATGACATGTTCTAAATGTTGTGCATAAAATGTTTCATCTTAAAATGTTTAAGAGTTCAGGTGGATCTCTGTTTTTCCCTGACTTTCCTAAAAAAGATGAGTCCATAAAGACACCATCCAGGGATCTCACTGAATAAAATAGCATATAATCTTCCTWATATACTTTTACATTAAAGTCTTCTAACAGGCATGTCTTCAGAAATGATTATTTGACTTCTAATCTTTTTTTTTCTCTTCAGTTTTTCCTTCCTGGCTGCGACAGCATCTGAACATCCCTTCATTTAATAGAATAGTAAATACTTATATAGCACATTTCCTAAAACATCTATCCAACCAGGACACTGAAAGCATTTAACATTAAAATATGTGCCCCCATTTACCCGTTCTCTCACACACACACACGAATACAGTACTCTTCTATGTTTCTCTACTAAGCTAATCTATAGAAATCACTCTAAAAGACTAGTCAGTGCTTAAATCACATTCATACACTGATTGGACACATCAGAGGCTCAGAGGGTTCAATGTCTTGCACACCTTCAAACTCCCAACTCTCTCATTGGAGAGTGACTCCCCTAACCACTCAGCCACGGCCGCCCCAAGAGATGCAAGTTATGTTTAGTAAAAATAAGGCTGGAATTCCTGATGAAACAATTCTAGAGCGATAAAAATACAGTTTTTAAAGGCACAGTGTGTAGGATTTGTTGTTTTCAGCGACATCTAGTGGTTGAGTGGTTGAATCATCCTCCCTGGTCCTTCCCCCACCCCCTGCTTCCAAACACAAAGGAGTTGCTACGGTGTCTCTCAGGTGTCAAAAACCTTTGATAATTCCAACCGCGATGTCTACCAGCAGCTTCAGGGCTAGTGATGTTTCAAGTGGTAAGATTATGAGCTTTAATAAGTAAAATTATCCCAGCTACAATGACAGACAACAAATATTACATTTATAGGATTACAACTAAAATGTTTTTGACGCCGCCACCGCAGTTTGTCCTTCATGAGCCTTCATAGACAAGATGGCGGTGCAAGATGGCAGCTGCCTGTGTGGCGACCCGYGACCATGGAGATATAAACAGCTTTTTATAAGGTAAAAATAATAAAACAAGGTCTTTGTYTGCAATGATTAGACATGTTTTTTATTATTGTCATTAGTGATTATCTCAATTTCGGCTAAAAGAATTGACAAAGTCCTACACACTGTGCCTTTAAACCAGCACTCTTGAAAACAAAACTAGCTTTTTGCCAGGTGATAAATYGCCACATTTCACGTGATCAGTATCAATGGAAAATTTGTCTGATAGACTACTGATAATTTTACTGAACTCCAATCCAGAACCGCACAGCATTCTGGGGGATGTAGGCAGAGGAAAGGCTTTRGCTGCTGGACCTCTCATGACCCAGCTAAACACGGTTAGTGGCATCAACTAACTCACTCAGTCGTTGTTAACTAGAAACAACCTGTTGGTAACATACAGTAGCAKTTTCATGTTTCACCACCGTGCCTCGTAACTGTTTAAAAATAAAAAAAGAACGTCGTGGAGTGAAAGGAGAAAACCACTGAAACAGCTCGAGAATAAAAGAGGAAAGGTCACATAACCAGTTTGACAGTATTAATCAGGCTTTTTTCTCCTGGTCCTTATTTCTAATAGGTAAACCAAAAAACTAAATAATTATCAATATTTACTGATATGAGACGCTTGTATCGTGATACATTTTTCATATCACGCCGATCTATTTTGAAGAATGTGAGATGAAGAATTTGAAAATACAACATAGAAAAAATTCTCATTGTGATTCATTTTGCCAGCAGAGGTCACATTTGAGCCACTAAGCTGCAGCTGTTTGTCTGTGGTTCTGTTTGTCATAATTACCATTAAAAAAYGACCATATTTACTGATGTATATTACGATCGAGTATAATACGATCATTTTTTTAAGGTTAAATTTCTAGTATTATACCAGAACAAATACAGTAAATCAAGTGAGCATCATATTTTGTTTTATTCTGTACCAATTACAAAACCTGAAGCTAACACAAGATGTTATKTACCTAACAGTCTAACTAGGCGCTCTTCAGTGTTTAGAAACTACTTWGTAAGCTGAAAGAAATAATTTGCAGTGCTGGCAAAATGTGTTGAGACTTTGAGTCACTTGATTAGATGGTTCTGTACAACATACTTATGTCATAACTTGTTTATCATTCGGCCAACAAACAAAAGAATCAGAACTTTTGCCTCTTAGTTTGCAGCAAGTGCAGAAAAACAGATCATTACGTTACACTTTTCAAAATATCTAATCACAAAAAATGTGCACAATTCAATATGTTGAAAAAAACTGKCTTAAACAAAAGGGCATATATAAATCTAAGGAAAAAGAAAAAAAAAAGGCAGCAGAAAATGCTTCAGGGTTGGGATAAATTAGAGCACATCTTACCCATCGATGGTGAGCAGCTCAAATGGAGCAGGCTTGTCGCAGACAGGGCAAGTCCACGTGGGCTTCTTCTCATTCATCTGCAGGAAGAAAACGGCATCGAAACACTGAAGATGGGCGCAGGTTAGGACTCTGCACGGCACACCAAGTCGCATCTTCACCAGCTGGAAGTCACAAAGTGACAGAATAATTCAAAACACATTCAACAGTGATCGTTCAAAAAGGTTTGATTTTATGGCTATACTTACTGGACAGATTAAAGAGACTCTGAGGCCTGTGGTCGCTATTTCACTCTCTGGATCAAACCGAAGTTTATCTTGAACTGTAAATGAATCATAAAAAAATAAATAAATACATGAGCTCTCACAAAAAACTAAAATATAAAATAAAGCCACAATCCACTTCTATGAAACCAGCAAGGAAGAAATGCTGTAAATCCCTAATTTGTAAAAGTTGGACTTACTGCGTTCACGACAGCGTTCTGGATTCTCAACAGAGCAGAGCTTTAACTGGTTGAAGAGGTCCGAAGCAGTGAAAACCCTCACTAGATACACTGCAACAGAGTAACGCTGGAAACAGGGATTTACACAATGTGAGCATTTAAGAATTTACTTGTATTAAATTCATGGTCGATTAAAAACACACACATAAAAAATACAGTTAAACCGAATGTATTACAGTAAAAACTATTCTAAAAAGTGGAATTATGTGGAACATTGAAAGATTAGCTTGTACACAGACAGAACTTGCAATGCTCATGAAAAACATGAAAACACAGTTTTAGGAAGTTTATCTTTGTACATTTTAAAAATTAGGAAGTTAAATCAAGATGAAAATGTTTTAAAACTACTCTTCTGAGGACAAACTATTGCACTGATCAGATGCTACCAAAAAAGTTGCCAACCTTTGCAACATTTTGATGTATTTGTTTAATTGAGGTTCAGCTAATCATGAGGTGAGAACAGTTCTGCTAACAGCTGATAGGGAAGTTAACTTTTCATTTAGCCAATTAACATTTTCTAACTTTGGAAACAATTAGCGGAATAATTAGCTTCCTCTAAATTTAGTTCTGCTAACTTTATGTCCGCTAACAAAAAACAACCCTCCCCTCATGCCTGCATCATGCGCCTTGTGTGTGCGTGTAGCATATTTAGCATTTTGTGTGTCCATGTGTGTTACCCTTCAACTGTAAAGAGACAAAGACTGACAGTTGCCTTCATCCACTCAGATCCTTTTAATCTGATCAGAAATGGTGATTTGGGGAAAATGCCCTAAAGTACTCTGGGAGATGTAGTTCCTCAGTTTATACATCGTTATCCTGGTGGATTAATGATTCTGAGACAATACAATACATTTAAAATGTTTTTCCCCAAACTTGGCTTTATTTGTTTCTGGTTGGATTGTGATGAAACTTAGTTTTGGATTCTGAGGTCTGAGACATTCTGATTGTGTGTGAAGCTGCAGAGTGAACAGCTGAGACAKATCTTTGTTTATGTCACTTTGTGCAGTTTGTTTACTTGCTGATTYATCTGCTTGTGGTTATTAGCTGTTTGTTGGAAGTAGAAATGTTTTTTTTAATTTTATTTTTAGCCAAGATTTTGACATTTCTATGCTGAAATAAGAGCTCTTCAGTTAGTAATTATTAGCTAGCATTAGCGTCCACTAATTTTTCATGGTTAGCGAATTGTCTGGTAGCGAAGCTAACATTTTGTTTAATATTTAGTACTTTGTCGATCTACACTTTGCACAAAAAGTAAGGACATTTGTGTTTGGTAGATTATTTCTTTGTTGTAACAATGCTTATTGGTAATAAATCGTATATTGTAGAAAGCCTGTTCATTTCTGTTTTTAAAATGGTGCCACATTTGTAGGAACATGCATGTGTGCAAAAATTTTGCCAAACAGCTTTTTTGCTGTTGATATTGACATTTGTTTTGACCTTCTGCTACCCCCAGGTGCTGCCAATCAGGTGCCTGGTGTAAGATGTATTGCCAAGAAGCGTTGTTACAACAAAGAAACAATCTACCAAAAACACATTCCCTAATTTTGTGCAAAGAGCATACAGCGGGTAAAATAAGTATTGAACACGTCACAAATTTTCTCAGTAAATATATTACTAGAGGTGCTAATGACATGAAATTTTCACCAGATGTCGGTAACAACCCAAGTGATCCATAC